GTCGGAAAAAACGAGCAAAGGGTGACCGTGTGACCCACACAACTAGATGCATTTCTATTGGGATCCATGAGGATCGACTAGTTAGTAGGATATACTTATATATATATATATAAATTATATTTGTTTACCATAAAAATGGAAATGTTATTAATTTTATTGATGTTTTAATAGGCAGCTAAAAGAGGAGGAGTTAGGCCGACACCTTTAGAGTCATACTTGTTGACTCACACGACTCGCCGACTTGATGCTCCAGAAGATGCTCCACCCACTTGGATATGTCCACAGGCTGAGCAAACATATGTAAGTATTTGATTCTTTTATGATATTAATTATATTTATTTTTAATGTCAATTTTGATCAAAAGCTAAAGAAAAGTGATACAATTTTCTCTCCATTGTACTCAATCATTGTTATTTTTCATTTGATTTCCCATTATCATTTGAAATTGCTAACTAATGAAAATTTTATTCTTGTAACAAAACGATGCTCACCAAAATATGTGGAGAAGCATGGGCCAAACAAGGATTTGTGGCCAGAGTGGGATCCACTTATATGGAGGGAGGTGGTTGGACCCCCCAAAAAGGGTCAAATGAGAGGGTGGTCTACATTACAGGATCCAACAAAACATGGCATTCCTTGGCGATGGTATGATATAAGTGAGGCCTCCTTTTCTACCACCAGGATTCTTATGACACAAGTCCAATAGTTGCAATCTGAGCTTATTCAAGTTTGGGAAGAAATGGCAGAGTGAGTTAAGATAAAGGTGGCTGCACGTATTCATACAAAGGTATCACAGAGAGTATTAGAGTTGGAGGCTAACTTTGAGAGGAGATTCCAAGAGAACATGCGCTTACTTAGCCAGCAATATTCTATAAATGAAAGGGTGGTCTACATTACAGGATCCAGCAGAGCATGGCATTCCTTGGCGACGGTATGATATAAGTGAGGCCTCCTCTTCTACCAGGATTCTTATGACACAAGTCCAGCAGTTGCAATCTGAGCTTATTCAAGTTCGGGAAGAAATTGCAGAGTGAGTTCAAACAGAGGTGGCCGTATGTATTCATATAAAGGTATCACAAAGAGTATTAGAGTTGGAGGCCAGCTTTGAGAGGAGATTCCAAGAGCACATGTGTTTACTTAGCCAACAATATTCTATAAATGCTAAACAACCCCAGACAGCTGGTCCTTTTTCTGGAGAGTTTAGACCTGATCACTTACCACCTCCTACTTAGAGACATTGATATTTTAAACTTATATTATATATGTTTATATATATGTAGTGCATGTATATGTTGTGTAGGATGAGAAGTTAGTATATATTTATTAACTTAAACTAGTTTTAGCTATGT